ATCAGTACCACACGCCACACAGTGGACGCCGTCTGAGAGATTTCGTTCGCTACGCACTCGTATAACAACTTAAGGTCGAGTAAAGTGCATTGATCAACATATCGGAGATCCTATGTATTATTGATAAAAGTATAAAACTTGGGCACTGTGGTAGAGTGGAGTTATATCGGAGATCCTTTTACTTCCTCCGTGTTCTTACGGTCTTCATAGGAAGGTAACGCGTAAATGATAGTAAGTGAGCTGTCATCGAACAGTGAGTCTTATACTTTAATACTTATTCTTATATCTTTCATTGTAAGTTGAGAAAAACCGACAGTCGAACAACAGTGTATTCAAATTAGGTAAATGCTGTTTGGCTAATGCCATAGTGGAACAGAAAGAGTGCTGTCAATGACAAGCTATTTCTAGATTATCTTATTATCATTTAAATTTGACATTTATCGTGCCAATAATCAGTTTGAGTTATTGATATCTACTATAATCGCATTTGCTAATCAATTAACAATGAACTAAATTACAGATAGTACTAGTCTAACTTTAAATCATTTTACTTGCCTTTTGACAGCTGACCATAAACGAATATGTTGCTAAGTCATTCAAAAAGCATAGGGTTATGAGCCAAATAGCACTTAGACACATTTATTCTAAAGTATTTAAGTAGCCATAGTTAATTTCAGCCCTTTTGACGAATACAATAATTATGAACAGACAAGTAGATTGGAACAGCCATTTAAAGGGTGAGTTAATTTATTAGAACGTAGAAAGCTGAATGCGGTAAATCAAACTTCTTTTCTTTAGGTGTTTTGTGGACTTTTATTAACATTGTCTGTGTAATTCATCTGTTTAATAACTCATTATTATTATTTCCTTTAATTCCTAGAGGAACATAAGGCTTCAGACGCACGTCTACATTGCCTTCACTTCTCTGTCAACGTTTTTCCACCAGGCTCCACGTTTGCCCACATGCTTACATCTCCTCTTCACATGACCACCTCCAAGTCACCCTCGCACTCGTGACCAACTCGCCACTTCCCTTTCGGGTTCCACTCGAGCGATGGCCTGGCGTGTGATGTCACTCACTTGATGGTTTGTTTTCTCAGAGTATGGCCAATCCATCTCCATTTCTTCTTGCCTATTTGTTTCACAATCTGTTCGTGGTTGGTTTTCTCCCAGAGATCCCTGTTGCTGGTCCTTTCTGGCCATCTGATCTTGAGTACTGAGGGAAGACAACTGTTAACGAAGGTCTGTAGTTTGTTTGAGATGCTCTTTATGACGCTCCAAGTCTCTGGTCCGTATAGTAGCACTGACTTCACGTTGGAGTTGAAGATCCGAATCTTATTTTTGATGGTGAGTGCTGTTTACCTCCACATCGACTTCCGATTCTGGCTTTGATATCCTCGTCAGTTCCGTTCACGTGTAGTTAAAACGATAGGTAAGTAAAGGAGGCTGTTTCTTTCAGGTTCCTCCCATTTATGCTGATTGTTGTCTGTTGTTGGTGTTGGCCAGGAATCTTCATCACCATATCTGTTTTATCTATATTCACCTGAAGTCCTATCTTTGATGCTTCTTCTGCCAAATTGTTGCTTTTCATTTGCATATCTTCCAGTTTGTGGGAAATCAGACAAATATCATCGGCGATGAACAGATCCTCCAAGTTTTTTGTGTGGGTCAATTTTAGGCCTGTTTCTTCGCTGCCCGCTGTCTGTCGCACTATTCAATCTACTGCAATCAGAGAAATCATTGGAGATAGTATACAGCCAGCCAGCTTGTCTTACTCCCGTCTTCACCTCGAAGGATTCGGTGAGTTTCCCGTTGTGGATTAATTGGCATTCAGAACTGTCGTACATCTGTTGCATGAGATGTATGATTGTCAACGGCACCTCGTAGTAGCGAAGTAGTTTCCAAATCACCTCTCGATCGACGCTGTCGAAGACCTTTTCAAAGTCAATGAAATTGAGATAGAGAGTAGACTGCCATTCCAAACTCTGTTCAATGATGATCCGTAGTGTGGCGATTTGATGAATACTTGACTTGTTTCTGCCGAATTCAGCTTGTTCCGGTCGAAGTTTTTCATCCAGGGTTTGTTTGTTTCTCTCTAGGATGATGCGGCTTAGTATTTTGCCTGGGATGGACAGGAGCACAATACTGCACCAGTTCTTGCATTTACCTAAGTCCCCTTTCTTTGGCAGTTTGAATAAGTATCCGTTCTTCCAATAACTCATAGTTAGAAGTATATATGTGATATATTCACTTCCTTTATTTCACTCTAGTGATAATAATGACAACGAATTCACTTTACCAACACACATACATACACATACATAGAGAAGGAGAGGCACAAGGATTGACCTCATTTGGTAAAATATTCGTTTTTTTAAGCACAACATTTGATTGTTTACATGTATGTATAATATTGTTTATTGTACCACAGGTCATCTTTATTATTATTAATATTACTATATTCATTCTTTAATTCTTCTATTCATTGTTTTTAAGTTCATGTATTTTTGATGTGTGTTTGTATGATGATTGGTAAATTTTTCACTGTGACTTAATTATGCAACAGTCTCAGTTCGTTTGTTACGCCTATTCTCTCTCTCTCTCTCTCTCTCACACACACACTTGTCTTCATTTACGTATCGGTAAACACATTGATTTATCACTGTTCAGAGTAGTCTTCATGTTATGTATCTGTATAGCTGCTTAGGACTTATTGTTTAACAAATCAAAATGGCTAACATCACTCTACAGCTACAGATACCCTTCTCATGTTATCTCTAACTTGTGCATACAAATTTACATGTATCTGTGAGAGCAGTTACATTGAGAGAACAGAAAGAAAGGTACACCTCTGATTATCTGAACATGTACTAAAAAGCCTACCTTTCAAGGGAGAAAATGCTTTACCATAGTGTCATCGCCAGACATCTTATCAATACGAGTCACGAGGTGAACATCGTGAAATCCTTTAAAATTATCAACAGACAAAGCAGTTCAATTCTTCCCTAAGTTTGCAATTAAAGCAGTCAATATGAAATGCCTCAAAACCCGATATATGCGTGTTCAGAAAGAAGCAGTTATCAGTCTTTCTTTGCTTATCCTGGTAACTGGATGTCTTTTTTCTCCCTATCATTTGACTGCGGCATCTTTGACCTTGACCGCTTCCCTTTTTTACATAGTGCAACTTTTTTTTGTCTATGGTTTCTATGATTTGAGTTCAACTCACCACATTGTTATTCGGTTTTTTATTTACTCATCGTTTTAGTCACCTCTTGTCTTGTATGCAAACATGTGTGTTGGAGGAAATTTGTAGTTCAGGTGGATGATTTTGATGTAGTTGTGTTCTCTAAGCTGAATGGTTTTAGGATTTCATCATGAGCTGACATTAGTTAGAGAACCATTGGAAAACTTGGGAGTACTGGACAGCTGTTTCGTCCTAGTTTGGGACTCTTCAGCGGTACACACCCACCGGTATTCGAACCCAGGACCTTCCGGTTACAAGGCGAGCTCGTATACCATTAAGCCACTGGGACCCGATCCAATGGTCCTTGAATTCTAACTTCTGCCAATTCACGACAAAGCGCAACCGCTAGCCAATGTCTTCGGCGAGTATTTGTCCTCACACCTGACCTGCTGCACCCTACTGGTCACGACCTCCCAGTGGAACCTACCTGAATAGGACCAGTCGCCAGTGAGCATCTCATTGGTATTCAGGTGATGGTTTGTAGGGATTTGATTGGTTTCAGAATTTCACGATGAGCTGACATTAGTTAGAGAACCACCATCGAATCCCTGTGGTTGCGCACTGCTGAAGAGTCTCAAACTAGGACGAAACAGCTGTCCAGTACTCCCAGGTTTTCCAATGGTTCTCTAACTAATGTCAGCTCATGATGAAATCCTGAAACCAATCAAATCCCTACAAACCATCACCTGAATGGTTTTGCTTGCGAAGCTTTCATTGCCCTGCTAGGCAATATCTTTAGCGCATACTTCAATTTGTTGAAGTGAACTTTTTAGATTTCTCCACGGGTTTATTAGTCATTTCTCCTGGTGGGTGACCTCAAGCGTGATTGGTTGTTTCTGTGTGTTTTCACACCTTTTAGGCTACTTGTATTGGAACTGATTGTTTCTTTGACTTGAACTTTGACCCTTTATGTGTAAGGTTTCTTTCTTATCGGTTGATAAATTTTGTCTATCTTGATGTGTCTATTGATTGATGATTCACTGGAATGCCAGACAGGCGTCTAAAAATTCTCTAGCATTCTTGTTGTTTCCTCTGTCTAATATTTGAACGTTGTCCCAGTCGAATTGGTGTCCGTGGTTGTCCATATGTAGTGATATGAGGGAGTGGATATCATGTCTTTTGACGGCTAGCTTATATTTGTGGATACGAAGACGAAGAGAACGTCCACTTTGGCCAATGTAGTTTTTTTCGCAGTTGTTACAATTTATTTTGTAGATGACGATGTTGGTTTTATCTTCTTTCGTTGTTAAATCTTTTGGGTTACATAGAGGCAACTGAGTGAAGTGGTCCTATTGGTTTGTGTACGATGTCAATTCCTAAAGGTTTGAAGAGTCTTACAGTGATTTCTGAAATGTGTAAAATTCATCTCCCTGTGTAAAAGCTATACACGTGTAATTCTCTGAGCACTGTTCATTAAGTTTAGAGTGTCCTGTCATTAACTGACATTAACATTTGTAACATTTGTAAGTATGTTAAAGTTATTTTGTGGATGAATAAACTGCTTAATAATTTCTTCAGGCTGTACGCAGTTGATGAGAAGAAAGCAAGGATATAAATGCTGATACCATCTTTTAATAATGCACAAATTTCTGTTCTTGCTTTATTCAAATTCATAAAGTAGAATAAATGTATGAAAGATATCAATAGCTTGTACATTTCAGTATTCATGAACAAATAACCAAGTGAAGCATTATTACATTTTTTCAAGGTTTTTCTCATCAGTTCTTCCTTTTTTTATTTTACTCCTATTATGTAGATATGATTATGAAAATTGTGAATCAAGTCAAGGTGATGAAATTATGAATCGATTAAAGAAGATTATTGTAGACAATGGTATAGCTGGTCAAGTATACAATACCACTAGCGGTCAACAGTTTATTGGGGACTTCTGTGATAATTTTTCATACTCTGATCCTGTTGATGGAAGTCAGACAACAAATCAAGTAAATACACATGTATAAAGTGATCAGTTCTTTTTTTTTTTTTACCAACTGCTTTGACCTTACATCCTAAGAACCTCAACGAGAGAACTTGTATATTTTGCTAAACATCAGACACTATTTCTTAATTATTTTGGTGGTTCATTGTCATGTCATGGTTATTATATTGAAATGTTCTCTTGATTTATTATGGAGACTTAGAGAAGCCGATTAGGGGTATTGGCATTTTTGTATGATTTTTTAATTCTATTTTTCATTCAGTAGTAAGTGGTTGAATTGATGTTTGTTCTTCGTGTTTGTGACTTTCTGTTGATGATATATCTGATCGCATTGATCGGTTTCATTTTGGTATATGGGCTTCTTGAGTGCTGAAATACCCCCCCCCCCGTATGTTACCATGAAATTGCGTGTTTGGTGGTGGCTAGCATTAGAGTCCAGGACACACATTTTACCCTGTTTGGGACTGGATGTAACTACTCCGCACTTGGTAGTGGTGTGTTCCCGTTCCGGTGACTGAAATGATGGTATCGAGTCTTAGTGGGGGGGGCGGGAAAGGTGACAACATCAGTGATTTGGGGGCGAGTTTGAGTTGATGATCAGCTGATTTGTTCTAAGACGAAACGCCCGTCTTGTGAATATCACCAGACAGGTAACTTTAAGATGTTAGTTAGCTACATTAATTGCTTTCAAGCAGCATCACCTGTCAAATCATACATGTAACAACCGGCTAGCCTTTCTTTTTAACGACTTTTTACTTACCTTGTCTGATATAAAAAGTTCAGTTGTTATTCTTTAAATTACATAGTCAAACATTATTCCCGCCGTTGGATTATGTAACAGTCTTCACATTGTTGGTGACTGTTAGAGATATTTCGGAAGACTTGTCCATCAGTCTAATATACTTTTGCTTTGCCTTGCTGATGACTTTTCAACAGTTTCATAGGATGGCTGACTGATTTCAACACAGAACTGTGCACAGATGTTCAGCAGTTTGAGTTGCCACACTCCATCCTTGTAGCACACAAAGCAAGAGAAGTGAGTAAAGGGAGGTTAAAAAAAGAGAGAGGGAGAATTGACGGAAGCGTGAGGCAAAAAGAATAGTAATAAGGAAGAACAGTAGAGTTTTATTGGATATGATAAATCACAAAGAGTGAGTGTATCTCTGTCAGCCATTGAGAACGAGGATTTTGAGCCATATCACCAAATGTCTCTAGGCGCCTTCATTTGTGTTTACTATCCCGAGGAGCCTAACCAGACAGTAGTCTACATCTCCGTACGTAGCTGACTGGCTGGCTAGCTTAAACTAACTGTTGTGGATTTACTTCATTGACTGACGAAGTCATGTTTTGGTTCGACCACCACTAGCATTCTCTTTTCCAATAAATGACATTCAACTAGAGAATGATGAAACAATGGTTAGTTTTGATATAACTAGTCTTTATACTAACACACCAATCAATATAGCCTTAGAAGAAGTTAAAAAAGAACTAACTGGTGATCCTGAACTTACTTATAGGACGAAGCTACCCATTGAAGAAATTATATTAGCGATTCAGTTATGCCTCACATCTACTATCTTTAAATTCCAAGGCAAAATATACAGACAAACTAAAGGTGTAGCAATAGGATCACCAAATGGGATCCCCTATCGTAGCGCATATATTTATGGACAGCTGGGAAAATATGGCTCTTAATACGTTTACTCCTACTCCAATGATATGGTGGTGATATGTGGATGACACTTTTGCAGTGTTAATAATAGAACATATCTTTAGTTTCTTCACACACATAAAGTCAGTCATAGGGAGCTGGGAATAAAATCCACATTTGAATCAGAAAATAAACACGGAGAATTAGCTATGTTAGATTGTAAAATAAAACGAATAGAAGAAGGTAGACTGCACACTAACATTCATAAAAAGCCAACGCATTCTGCTAATGGATATTTAGACTTTAATTCGTCTCATCTGTTATCTGTGAAGTTAGGCTTAGTCAAGCGTCTAAGTAGTACATCAAAATCCTGAATGATGAAATAAAACAGATAGAAGAGGCGTTGGTGTTAAATAACTATCCTTTAAAATTCATTAGGAAAATTGAAAAAGGCCAAAAGAGAAAGAAAAATAATTGTGGAAATAGTAATAATAGCATAAATAAGAGAGAATATAAGTCATCTACAGTTATACCATATAAAGAGGGGACATCTGAGACCATGCCTACGTAGGATTCTAAATAAAGCAGGAATTAGGGTGGCATTTAAACCTACAAACTCACTCAGGGACAAGCTCTGTAGTTTAAAGGACCCTGTTGACCCAATTAGACAAAATAATATAATTTACAAAATACCCTGCAATGACTGTGGGTTAGGTCAACTACATAGGTCAAACTAGTAGATCAGGGGTAGTCAGATCGTCGGAACATAAGAATTTAGCTAGGGTAAGAGTGGTCGACCCCGAGAAGATAAGTAATTTAGAAAAAAGCTCAGCAAATGCACTACATGCATTAACACACATCTACACAATAGGATGGGATAGAGTTAAAATTCTAAGAAGTAATCTAGGTAGGTGGGGAGAGAGGTTGATCACTGAATCCTTGTTCATTGAGTCTACACCCAACACATGCAACAGGAAGGATTCATCACTCATACCCGAAATATGGAAAATACTACTGCCAATCAAATCAAGTGAAAAATAATGGAATTATATAAATGAAGAAGTTAGGAAGTCGTGTGATTACTTTGATATGATTATGAGTGGCAATAAATTATGCTCGAAACTTCATCAGTAAACATTACTGTATAACAAACACTGTGAGACTTTAACAAAACAAAATCTACCCATAAGGGAATTACACTCTACCACACAGTGCACAAGTTTTATTCTTATATTTTTCCCAACCTAATCCTGTTGCGTAGTATACGTATGTGTCTGTCTTCTGTTTGATAAACCATCTATGATGCATCGATCGCCTTCACTTTCTTTTCAATATGCCATTTTTGTGTATGTTCTGACATTTTCTTTTCTTTCTGTTGACTTCACTTTTATAAAAAAAAGGGTTTTCGCCTAATATTTAAAGATGGAACACGATTTGTTTATCGTCTAAGTGGTACAGGCAGTAGTGGAGCAACACTTCGAATGTATATTGACACGTATGAAGCAGATCCGAAGAGACATGAACTTTCATCACAGGTTAGTTTATCTGTAGCCTTTTTTTAAACACATGCCTATTTGGTTGTATTGTAACAACAGAAGACAAGGGCCAGGCAACAGATCGTTTATTTACGAAATCAACACATATTTATAGATTTGCATGTACATTATTATATATATTATTGGTTGTTTCTCAATGAAAGTTACTTTTTCATCTCTTTGCGGCTGTAACTTGAATGTCAGATCATCTATATGCTAACTGCATCCGCCTACGCAAAGCCTTTGTTTTTATTTTTCTCACGACCAATATTGGGGACGTAAACATTGACGTAAATTACTGTCTACCAGTTTGGCTAGCAGCCAGCTCTCTCACCACAAAATGACTTCATCATGAGCTGATATCGGTTGGAAAGAACCATTGGAAAACTAACCGTGGGAGTACTAGACAACTGAGATGAGATGCTCAGGTTGTTAGTTACCTGGGGTTCTAATGGGAAGTTGTGACCAGTAAGGAGTACAGAAGGTCGGGCGTGAGAACAAATACTCTCCAGCGATGACAGTGACTAGTGCCAGTCGCGTTATGTTGTGAATTGACAGAATTTGGAATTCATGGACTCTGGCCATTGCATCAGGTCCTAGTGGCAGGTGCGCAGGTGCTGAAGAATCGCAAACTAAGCTGACGACACAGCTATCCAGTACTTCCAGCTGGTTTTCACTGGTTCTTTAACTGATGTCAGTTTATGATGAAATCATGTAACCAACCAAATCAAATCCCTACAAACCAATATGCTTATTTGTTGTATGTCTGTCTGTCTGTCTGTTTTCGACATAGAACTTTGCACAAATGTGCGGAAGTTCAAGTCGCCACATTCCGTGTAGCACGCGAAGCAAGAGAAGAAAGTACAAGAAAAGCATAATAGAAACAGTGAGCAGAGGGGTGAGACAAAGGAGTAATAAAGAAATACAAAACAGTTTCATTGAAGATCATAAGTCACAGGGAGTGGATGCATCTGCGCCACTGAGAACGATTTTGAGCCATGTCACCAATTGTTTCCAACCATAGATTTTTACCGTCCCGAGGACCCCAGCCTGGAAGTCTACACCTTCCTACGTGGCTTAGACCAACTGTTGTGGATTTCCTTGACTGATGCCAAGTTTTTGTTTGACCGCCACTAGCTTTTTTCCAGCCTGACCCTATATCCGCTAACATTGCTCGTCGAGGGAGGCGATGGCTTGGCATACGTAACACATGCCCTAACCATCTCAGTCTTTGTAGCTTCACGACTTCGTCAATTGATTTCCCCTGTTTACCTAGAACTCGACGCCTAACCTCCATGTTGCTCACCTTATTATGCCACTTTACACGGGAAATAGAACGCAGGCACCTATGATCAAAGACAGCTAGTCTTTTCATATCTTCCACTCTCAGTGGCCAGGTCTCACTCACAGCTATATAGGAGGACGGAGCGGACTGATGAGCAGTACAGCCGCCCTTTGGTCGATAGTCAAACATCTCGTCTACGCCAGAGTCGGCGTAAACTAACAAATGCGAAACGAGCCCCTTGTATTCGTGTTGAGATTTCGTCAGAGATCAGCCCGTTGGCACTGGCTGATGGTACTTCCCAAATAAGTGAAGCGGTTAACGTGCTCTACCACTTCACTTCCTATTTTTAAACTAGGCGTCGATGTAGTCCAGTCCTGTAACATCATCTTGCATTTGTATGTACATGATAATTTTTGATTTAGACTCTGCTTATTTTTCTACTGTTGCTTTATGATTAAATGGTGCTATTGTCTGGGTTATTGAAATCAATTAAACTGTCTATGGCTTGAGTTACAGTCAGTCATGTGTGATAAAATGAAATAAGCAATCAGTCAGAAAAAAATTTATTTCACATAAACGTGATATGAGTTAATTAAACTGTCAGTCAATTTATTTGACTGACACTAAGCTAATAGTAGCAGTTATATGCTTTCATCATTTCTTTTGCATAGATTTTCTGATTACATCTCATAGAGATTATATACAGTAAAGGTATCATATGTATGTATATATATATTAGAGAGAAAAAGTCCAGAGTATTTGAACTGAAGCATTAAGAAAACGAAAATAGATTTTCATCGAACTGCATTCCATGAAGATACAAACTGTAACAGATATTAAAGTTTCAATATGAACAGTGCAATACCGGGTTATAAAAGTAATAATAATAATAATAATAATTTACTTTATTCCAAAAACAGTACTTGTGATACAGAATGGAATTTTCAGCATAAATCACATATAATATTGCATCTGATTTTCTCAAATTATAAATAAAATTAATCATACAGAGAATTTTACACATCTAAAATAAGGGTAATGTCAAAAACATGCAGCATGTAAAATCGAAATAATAATAATAATACGAGTGGAAATTGCCGTGGGCTTGTTTCACACAGTATTGTCGATGCGGTATAGAAATCCTAGAATGTTTAAAAATATTCAATATAATGTTCTCTTTACATGATATGGTGAGGGGAAAAACAAAGATTACAGAAGTCGTAGAGATAAGTTGGTGTATGCAATTATAAGAGTAAAACAAAGAAGTAACAGGACCATAAATATAATAGAAATAATAAAAGTAAAACTTGAAGGTATATAAGGATGCATAGAGGAAATTCTTTATTTACTAGATGAAAAAAGGTTGGTTTATTCTTGCCTGACACATTAAATACGTGACAAGTATGGTATCATACAATTTTTATACTTAGACGTGCGAGCATACAGTTTTCTGAGGTTACTTCTTGTTCTACCTAAGGAGATGCAAGGTGAGAGCTGGGAGTAAAGTGGATGCTCCAAGTCAGACAAAATCCCTTTAGCAAATTTATTGCATGAAGTCAAGTGCCTATCGATAACGACGTTAACTATGTGGTCCACTGGGACACCACTCACCCTACTGACAGTCTTCAGCATTCTACGAATTGTGACATAGTTGTTTTTAAGCAAACCAGGAAACAATAAACAAGGGTGAACAATAAAGAAGAATAGGTAGGATGCAAGAGTTTATGAACTGTAGGAAGAGGAGTTGAGTTATACCCGATTGCCTTACCTTTTTAATGTAAAATGTCAGGCGGAATATTTTACTGGAGATTGCTAAGACATGGGAAGACCAGGAGAGATCAGAAAAGAGAATGAGTCCAAGATACTTAATTTCTGATTTAATTCCCATATCATTGTCGTCAATTTTACAACTGTCATGAGAATCGATGACTTCTTTTAACTGTTTGAATTACTAAAAATCTGCACTCTCTTTAGATTTGTTATCGTTATGCACTCCTGTTTAATAGCAGACAGGTAGGTAGAATAGCGTAGGATTAAAATATAGTATTGAAATCTGTACACATCATATCACACCACAATAATATAGTTTTTTCTATGTTGAATTTCTGATACCACATGATTTTAGATGATTGAAAGCAATCGACAGGACGCCTTGAACACTTGGGTTTCGTGCTAGTTGGCACTCACCAGTCAGTCAGCAAGGCGTATCTGTAACCTTTAAATCAAATCAATGTGCACCATGATGAACGGTGGCCACATTGCAAAGCTGACCGATAGAATTCAGTCTACACCAAACAAAGGACTAGACACATCACACTAGTTACTAGTGTCAAATCAAAGTATACTAAATGATCTTTGAGTAAAGTAGATTAGACGAAGTCAACCGCTACGACTGACGAAACCAAGAACAGTTTTGGTTAGCCAAAATCTGACCGTTTATTCAGAAATCATTCCAGTTTTAATCATTGATTTAAAAAGTGAACTGAAGTCAATTTTTCAGCCTAGAAGTATGCATTTAAGTGTATCATTTCAAGTTGCCATACTTCATAAAGCATCCTAAAGACCCAAACCAAGCAGTCTACATCTCCCTACGTGACCCAAACTTACTGTAAACGGTTGATTGGAGGATTTTGTCATGAGCTGACATCGGCTTAGAGAACTATTGGAAAGCCAACTAAGAGTGCTGGATAGCTGTCTCCTGCGTCCTAGTTTGGGACTCTTCAGCAGTACGCCCCCACCGGGGTTCGAACCCAGGACGTTCAGGTTACAAAGTTAGCGAGCTCGTAAGTCATTAAGCCATAGGGATCCGATTCAACAGCCAATCTATGAATTCCAACTTCTGTCAATTCATGGCATAGCGCGACCACTTCGCAATGTCTCCTCTGATGAGTTACTGCCTAACCTTTAACCTGCTGCACCCTACTGGTCGCGGACGAAACAGCTGTCCAGTACTCTCAGTGGTTTTCTAACTGATGTCAGCTCACGATGAAATCCTCCAATTAATCAAACTAAATCCCTACAAAAACCAATACTTGAAAATAAGTGTTAATATCTTCTTATGCTGATGTTGTTTCTCTGTCTGACCAGTCTAACTTTTTCCCAACAAAATCCCTTTATGAATTAACACTGATCGACAAGGCAGACGGCGGCGTGGTATGCGCGACATATGTGTTTGCCGTTTTAATCGATTTCTCTTAACAACCACATCGATTGACTTGCCTACCTTATCTAGAAATTTACGCGTAACCTTTGTTAATACATGCTGCATAAATAACAATACGGGAGATGTAACTCAAACATCTGTAGTCAATGACTTCTAACCGGCTTTTTCATATCACAGCCATATTGGAGGAGAAGGAGGATAGAGTGAACTAACTTGTGCCCTACACACACACACACACACATCCTTTGATTGACAACGAGCTATCACGAGTCACACGAGAAATGACGTAATTTGGCAAATGCTACACGAGTCTTTTGTATCCGTGTTAAGCTTCTATCAGCAATTAGTCCAATAAAGTTGATGCAATTCCCCGAATAAGTTGAATAGTTCATGGATTGCATCATATTACTCGTTAACATTGAACTTGTTGGTGGTGCAGACCAGTCGTGCAGCATCATCTTACGTTTGACAATGAGGAAGACTCTGCACTCTGTCTGAGTCTTCACTTTAAGTCGGTGACATTTTTGTAAACTGGAGTGATCATTGATTTACACTACTCCAGTTGGACTATTTAATATTTCACACAACGGTATATGTCATCGTTAACGTAGTCAATAATTTATCACCCATTAATCTTAAAAATCTCTTATCGATTCTTTTCCCAAATGATATTTCTCTTAATTATTTTGCATTTTTCATCCGTAGATTTTTTTTCCTCTATATAACTAACACTGAAATACGATAATGAATGTTGGGAAATAAATTAGAGTTTAGACTTTTAGGAATTTATTGATATTCGTTGTTTTGTTTTTTTTGCTTGTAATATTTTTTATGATTTAAACAAATTTTGATTTCAAACAGACAACAGATGTTAATAAAGCGGGATATGATGAATTCATTGAATTTCGGTAGAACTCTTCAGCTGAATACCTCCTACATACAGGAATATATATATATATATATATATATATATATATATATATATATATATATATACGTGGTTCGAATTTCAGAAGGGAAGTGAATTCCTTCAAGGCAGTTGCAGATACGCCTTGCTGACTGACTGGTGAGTGGTGACAGCCAACTAGCGCGAAACCTAGGTGGTGTTCAAAGCTTCCTGTGACCGATTGCCTCCAAAAATCATATATGAATTCATCAAATCCTGCTTGGTTTAAATTGCCCAGTTGACGCACTCCAAAACCTCACTTGGTTGGAAATAAGCCAAAGGCGAAGAGGGAAGGTTGGATATCGGACTAGCGATACCACACACACCCCGTAAAAATAAACACCACTGCTACCCAAACTCTCAAGCCTCTATCTTGAAGGTGTCCTATGTTCCACTGGGAACTCAAAGAAATCAAATAATAAATAATGGTTTAAAATTAGTATTAGGAAGTAGGTGCTTCCAATTTTGACTTGGTTGACTTCTCCAACATATTCCATAACTACACATTTTTGACCAGAATTCACATAATCATTTGCTATCTAGTATTATATTGGTAAATTGCATTTACGATGAACACCGTTGTCGTCTCTTTCTCTACATTAAGACACTTGGTAGCATTTTTTTTAGTTTTAGTGGTGTGGTTTGATACATAATTGAATTGTCATCCACCCCCATTTCTTTGGAGTGGTTTTGAATTCCACAGTAAGCCGTTTAATATGATATAAATTAACTGGCTTAATGATAGAACTTCATATTGCATATATATATATATATATATATATATATATATATATATAATTTATTATTGTTCCTGACGCACTCGCGATGTCACCCAGCGGCCTCCTCAGTGAGTGACCAATCCACCCCCACTTTCTCTTGTATATTTGTTGGTTGGCGATTGGTTCTTGTTTTGTTTGTTCCCAGCCAGAGTTTCTTGTTGGTGATTCCTTCCGGCCCGGTCATCTGATCTTCACTATAGAGCCAGCAAAGACAGTTGTTGGTCGATAAAGGTCTGCAACAGGCTGTTGGAAATATTCTTTGTGACCCGGCCGCCAAGTTTCTGATCCGTAGAGAAGTGCTGACTGACTTGACGTTGTTTGTATTGAAAATCCGACCGAATTTTGTTGTTGACGCTGGCTGAGTGACAAAGATTTCCAGATTGGTATATTGCATATATATATATATATATATATATATATATATATATATATATATATATATATATTCAGTAATTCATAAGCCTTATTTACTCAAAATGAACTGCCCCTGTTTTTCCTCTCTTTTCCATTATAGGAATATTTGAAGCCGCATATTGAATTAGCGTTGAAGTTGTGTGGGGTAACTGAAATCACCGGTAGAACGGCGCCAACTGTCATCACTTAATTTATATATTCACTGTGATGATGATGATGATGATGACGGTCGATACACTTCAATGGCTATGCCTTTTGTTATTTTTCCAACAGGAGTTCATTATCATCCGCTTGATTTAATCCCTGCTCTTTTCTGTCTTCCATGCTAGTTTACTTCTCTAGACATTTTGATCTATGACAATATTGTTGATCTGATCCTATGATGGATGGATGGATGGATAGGTAAAACAGATGACTGTCCAAATCATGATCATCATAATTTTCTTTGCCTTTTATTTCTTTCTTCAGTAAGCCCTTGCACCTAATTTCTGATTTTCGATCGAGAGAAGAAAGAAATTCACCCCGTGATAGAGTGCTATACGAATCACATGCATCATGCATTTCACCTTTCATGTTGTTAGGGAATTTCTCATTTTTTTTACCTTGGTTAATGACAACAAATCATTATTATTGTTTGAAGGAAATGATCATGTTCTCGTTTTTTTTGATTCTTTAACAGGAAAAATCGACTTTATTTATTTATTCCTAACCTGAATAGTCGGTTTCTCTCTCTCTCTCCACATATTGGGCGCCCAGCATCTAGTCCCCTTACACTACCATGCTTTATCTGGTTAACTTTATTTGCTTTTCTACTTATATACTTCTTATATTTCTACTCTTCTTGACAAATTTGTATTAGATAGTATTGGAATGCGCTTTTTGGATACTTAATATTATTATTATTAGTCAATAAAGTTAGGAGTATTTCTATGTCTTATGCAGAATGATGGGTTGAGTTGGCGTCTCAGACATAAGGTGAGCAATATTGAGGTTAGGCTTCAGTCAAGTGCTAGGTAGGTAAGGAGGGGAAATCAATCGACGAGGCTGTGAAGCTACATCGACTGAGATGGTTAGGACATGTCATTGCCTTCCTCTACCGACGGGCAATGTTAGCTGACATAGGGTCAGGCTGGAAAAGAGCTAGCGGCGGTCTAACCAAAACATGGCACCAGTCAATGAAATCTGCAACAGTTAATCTAAGCCACGTAGGCAGGTGTAGACTTCCAGGTTGGGGTCGTCGGGACGGTAAAAACCAATTGGTGATTTGGCTCAAAATTGTCCTCAATGGCTGATGGAGATGCATCCACTCCTTGTGACTTATGATTTTCAATACAACTATATTATTCTTTGTTACAACTATTCCTTCGTCCCACACCTTTGTTTACTGTCTGTATAATTCATTTCTTCTACTTTCTTCTCTTGATATGTGTACTAAATGAAGGGATTGTGGTGACTTGAACTTCTGCACATCGGTGCAAAGTTCTGTGTCGGAAACAAACAGACTCAAACATACTGTTTGGTGTGTGTGTGTGTGATAACATAGTGTATGTATTCACCACAAACTGACTACTATTACTACTACTACTCTACACAATTTTAAAACACCTGTTTGCTTCGATGACATCGGGAGTGGATATGGCACTAGTATAGTTAGTGTTTTTTTTGTAAGGATAGAATTTGGTAAAGTCTATAATTCCATTATGGAATAATCTTATTGGATAAAAACACACACACATTAGTATAACACAGATGACGTTTTGAACACAATTCATTGCTCATAAGCCAGTCATGATGCGTCAATAGTTCAGTGGCAGAGAACTTGCCAACTAATCCATTACTCACGTGGTCTGGGGTTCGATCCCCAGCTGAAGATGCACGCCTAAACCTTACTTAGGTGGTAGTAAAAGCTTAGTAAAGAGGGAGGGAGGAGATTGCGTGGGCGTGAGGCTAGCAAACCCATCCTGTCATAAACACAAACAGTGGTGTTATCGAAATTTCAAAGCTGAAGGTTACAGCTGTGTATGTTCCACCTGGAAAATTCAAAGAAATAAGATAAGATAATAATAGTAGGCCCATCACAATCTTACATTCTATGAAAATCTGTATTTAGTTACAACAGTAGGTGTGATAAATAAAGGATGAATTAACTCGGGCAAATTACATCAGTTTTCCACCTTTTTGTTGTATGAAGTTGTCAAGTTTAGGTTTTGGGGCAGTCTTCGATAACAACCAAAGTAGATTACATTTGATTCCATGATAACAGATAGATGTAAGAGGTATTTAGGTGTAGACTGGCTGGATTCATTGATGATGATTATTTAACTTTGTTTACATCATTACTGCCTTTTTGGAGTGGAGACTTCACTTTCCACGATATTTCCTTCAGTGGAATGTAAGATGTTTGTGTAATTTTTGTCCAGTTGTACATTTCACTAGGTAATATATAAGATAACTGGAATCATTGAACTGGATCTGTCGGTACAAGCATATGAACGAGAATCATGACTTCTTTGTTGAGATCCCACTGACCACCTGATTGGTAAAGTGAGATTTTATTTTCCCTATTGTAAATTTTGCCTTGTAAGGTTTTCGAATGAGTACAGATACATCTACATTGCTAAAATTTTCAAACAAAAGATTCTCCTTATTTCTTCCAGATTTCAGAGTGTATTCCCCTATCTGTACACATTTTCATTGTTATTATTGTCAAATAAACTATTTATTTGTTATGATGTTAATTTTTCAGCTAGTGTGTTGCATTGTGTGCTGTTCGTGAAATATTTTTGTGTTTTTTTACCTTTTTTTTCGTATTCTGCATGAATTAGCTAAACTTTGAAATGGGAGAGACTATACGATAAGATGACTGAAGGAAGTTGTTTGTCCAAAATATTTTAAAAAGAGTTTTTCTCTCAACTTTGGCCAGTAGCTGACATCAGTTAGAGAACAATTCAAAAACCAGCTGGGACAGCCGTCGCATCCTATTATGGGATTCTTCATCAGTACACACCCACCGACAGGGTTCGGACCAAGGACCTTCTGGTTACAAAGTCAGTGGGGTCGTAGACTATCAAGTCACTGAGGCTGGTCTACGAGCTCGTCCTGTAACCGGGAGGTCTTTGGTTCGAACACTGGAGGTGGGTGCGTACTGATTAAGAATCCCATGTACTAGGACGCGACGGCTGTCCCAGCTGGTTTTCCAATTGTTCTCTAACTGATGTCAGCTCATTATGAAATCCTGTAACCAACCAATCAAATCCCAACAAACGAATACTTGAAAAAATAGAGAATCATTAGAATCCAGGGAGTAGTGGACACCTGTTTCGTCCTAGTTTGGGACTTTACAGCATTAAGCACCCATGAACCCACTTGTTATCGAACTCAGGGTCTTTAGATTATAAGGTCAGCGCGTAAACCATTCAGCTATTGAGGTGGAATCCCGCGCGACTGTCAACCAATTTCATCGGCGAGTATTCATCCACATACCCTACGCAGTGGACCCCACTGAGCGCGAAGACTTTTTACTAGAACTTCAGACATCTTAACATCCTGTTGTTCTTCACTAATGAGCACTAAATTTTTCCCCCTGTAAATTGTCTTTTTGTGTAAATTCGGGGATTTTAAAAGACACAGAATTGTACAAAGAAGTATAACTGTATGGATCGTGGATTCAGGTTTCGATTCCTAACCGATGCATCGCTGAACCTCTCATAGTTGGAAGTAAGTCCGGGAAAGAGAGAGGGTGTTGGGCATGAGGCTAGCAACTTGAAAAACACAGGTGCTACAGAGATTTCCAAGTTTAAAAAGTAGTGCTTGAAATCCTCTTACTCCGCCCCCCCTTCCGGAACGTAAAAAGAGTCAAGTGAAACTAGAACACTTGTACAGTAATCAATCAAAGGAGAAACCATGGCTCGCAGTTCCCGTTTAGATGATTTCATCTGTACTCATGATGAGATAATCACTGTATGAGAAATCGATTATTTTATGGTATATATCATGACGTCAAACCACTCTGAATCAGGAGGCATAGATAGATAGTTAAGTTGATAACTTTTACTGACTTTTGATTGGACACTAGTAACTAGTGTGATGTATCTAGTCCTTTCTTTGTTGCAGACTGATTTCTATCAGTCACTAGATACGTCACACTATTTACTAGTGTCCAATCAAAATACCCACTACAGTCCTACACGAGGTCAATCGCGAGCCCGAATAGCTCAGTGGTAACGTCTCTGACAACAGCGCTCGCTGGGTGACGCGGGTGGGAATCTCAGAAGGAACATGAGTTCCTTCAAGGCAGTCGCAGATACACCTTGCTGATGAGTGTCATCTAGCACGAAACCTAGGTCCAAGGCTTCCTGTCGATTGCCTCCGACTATCTAATATATCCTCAAAAGTTTTAATAATGCTAGAAATGAAATTATCCTATTGGTTGTTATGTGACAAGCGACCTACATAACGTTACTCTTGCTCATAGGTTTTTTTTTATTCAGGCTACTGGATTCATTTAACTCGATGGAGAATATGAATAAATAATCTTTTCTGAGGATATGCTTATATGATTTCAGGTCATATAACGACAAGATTTAATAGGTTATGCTACTCTCTGAGTAGCCAAAAACATGTCAAGCTTATCCATTCTATAAATTAATCAGTTGGAATGAAAATAAATTAGGCGGTCATCATTTTGTTGGGTTTTTTTTTTTTTTCAAAACTAGCCTGTTTTCTATAATCTCTATTTGTTTTTTTCCGTTATGCCTTTTTAGTTACCCGCCAATTCTGAATCACATAAAACACCTGGTGAAATTGATCTAGAACCAGGAAATCGTGGTGTTCATTTTAATAGTGAAATGGTTAACGAAGATTGTACGTCGCATAATTTATCAACTGTGCCTACACATCCTCAGTCATCTAGTCATCCACCGCATGTTTCACGAAAAGTTAGCTTTTCTGATTTACCTATAATTAGTGGTACCACTGAAGAACGTCACCTAGATGGTGGAATTCATCCATCGCGTATTACAGCTGAAGATGAAGGAATCTATGATGAAGATGATGATTCTGGACATCATATAGAAGTTCGTCTATTGGATCCAACTACAGATGATATGCCGATGCTACCGTCGAACTTTACTAATGTATCTGTGTATGAAGTCAAGTTGGGTATGCTTAAACAGGCAACAGTTTATCGGGTTGAATTTACAATACCGGATAGATTGAAACCTGGTGAAGTAGAAATGTTGAGAACTGTTGTTGAAATGGATGGTCATGTTAGTGTGCCGGTTAATGTCGGGGCTTCTTTTGTTCTGTTAAGCTGTGAACCTGTCCCATCACCCAACCATGGTAAGATATTGTAGACCGACCATTAAATATATACATATATATATTCCTTAGTGTGATTCGTGACATCTTAAATCCATTGACTAAGATAATCGTTTTAAATTTTCACAAAAACCTTGTTATTTTTAGGAATCACCCTTCACGAATTTATGAAGATTTCGTTATTCTGAATATTGGTTACGAAGTGTGATAAGTATTTTGCAAGATTAATTACGAGTTCACATCACTTAGAGAAGCCTTTAAAACCAGCATGGAGTGTTGCACAGATGTTTCGTCCTAATTCGGAACTCTTCGGTATGGAGCACACACCAGAGTTCGAACCCGATCATGAGGTGAGCTCGTAGACCATTCGGACCTGAACCACTGATCCTTGAATTCCGACTTCTGCCAATTCGTGATCAAAATTTTTTTGGATTTTAATTTCATGACAAACTAATTAGAGTACTACACACCACAGATTTATTATTATTTCCTTTAATTCCTAGAGGAACATAGGGCTTCAGCCGCGCGTCTCCATTGCGTTCGGTTCTCTGCCAATGTTTTCACCTGACTCCAAGTCCGCCCACATGTTTTCATCTCCTCTTCACATGACCTCGTCCAAGTCACCCTTGCATTGACGACCAACTCGCCGCTTCCCTTTCAGGTTCCACTTGAGGGCTTGTCTAGTGATGTCACGGGATGGTTTCTTCAGGAAATCTCAAATAATACGATTCAAATAGTTTACATTATGTTCACTGTTGAGTGATATGTCCTAGAGTGTGAGAGGACTATCAAATTTTGGAAACAGCTCTGTTATGCTAGTGCCTAGTTAACTGATATTATTGGTGGTGAAATAACACAAGTGTTTTCATTATCAAGCGAAATAAAAAAACAAACTGCGTGCAGTGTGTCAGTGTTGTTCAATGCTCGAATCCTTGCCAGTCACGTGAGACGTTTCGGTTCGATTCTCAACTGACGTACTCCTAAATGGCAGGGTAGTAAGCCTGGAGAAAAAGGATGGTTAGGAGACGAGGTCAACATCTCCACTTGATAAAAGCAGTACTGTTATTGAAATATTGGCGTTTGAAGCTGTATGTTACACGGACTACACAAAGAAATGAAAAAGTAACAATCACATCTAAGAAATACGCAACATGATTTTTTTAAATTCCTTAATGTTCCTAGTGGAACATAGAGCTTGAAGCTAGATACTTGAAGTTTCTCTGGCAGTGGTGTGTGTTTATTTTTACGGGATGGGGTTGCTAGCCTCATATCCACCCTCGCCTGTTTACCAGTCTTAGTCAGGTAAAGGAGTGCGTCGATGGCCGGGGATCGAACCCCTAACCATCAGCGTAGTTGGCGAGAATTCTACCGCCGTGCCACTGACGCGTTTTATGTATGTATGTATGTATGTCCTGTTTGTTCTCCTTACCTTCCTATTCTCGTTTTCCCCATGTTAACACGTTGTCTGTGGGGGGTACGTCTGTATATGGTCATACATTTCAGTTTCCTCCATGCTTCTTTCTATTTTATGTAAATTTATGTTTCAGTTACCGTGAGGTGAACAAACTCATTTACCTGCTACATTCAATCATTTGCTGTTGACTTAGACTGTTTCCTAACTGAGACTGTTGGAAGAGGGAATTTAGATAATATGTTTCCTCAGTACTTCAGTGTTGTTATATTCTCCAGTGGGGATAATTTGATTGTCCATTTCAGATAGGAACATTGTGATTTCTAACTTCATAAGGGAGTCAATTTTCTCGTCGTATATTCTTTGCTCTTATTTAGTCTCTGTAACATAGTCTTCCTGTGATAATCACAGAGGGATTAGCTTGACTAATATAGTATATAAAGTCCTAGGCTCAATAATATTGCGTAGACTAAGTGGTGCTCGGGAGGCACAAACACGAGAGAACCAGGCAGGCTTTAGACCAAGGAAGACGGTGTGTTGATCATATCTTCACCCTTCGACAGATTCTAGAACATAGGCATTCTTACCGGCGTCCAACAATCATTATATTTCTTGACCTAAAGGCGGTATTCGATTCTGTCGATCGAGAGGTACTCTGGCGATGCTTGGCTGTAAAGGGAATGACGAGAAAATACATTCCACTGATCAAGACCCTCTACTCTAATTCATGCAGCCAGGTGACGGCTTACGGCGAGTTGTCATCTGAAGTGGTGGCGACCAGTGGTGTCCGTCAGGGATGGATATTATCCCCATTTCTATTCATTTTAATCATAGATGTACTAATGGATTTAACCCTAACTCACTTCAGAGACTCAGGGATTGACTTGCTACCAGGTAATAATCTCGTTGACTTAGAATATGCAGACGATATTGTCCTCCCTGCTAGGCGGGAATGCTGACAAAATGCAGTCTTCTAAACACCTGGAGCTGCAATCTGTGAATTTTTGGCATGCGATTCGCTCCCGCCAAATGTTGGGTGATGCTACAGGACTGGAGTAAACAGACTCCTAGCTTTGACCGCTTCACTTATTTGGGAAGTTGCATCAGCCGATGCCAGCGAGTTGTTCGCTGACGAAATCTTAGCACGGATACAGAAGGGGCTAGTTTCGCATATGCTAGTTTACACCGTCTCTGGCTTGGTAGACGTGATATCCGACTATCGACCAAAGGGCGGGTGTACTGCTCAGAAGTCCGCTCCGTCCTCCTTTATGGCTGTGAGACCTGGCCATTGAGAGTGGAAGATATGAAAGCCTGGCTAGTTGTCTTTGAACATAGGTGCCTGCGTCCTATCTCCCGTGTGAAGTGGTATAATAAGGTAAGCTATATTGAGGTTAGACCTCGGTGGAGTGCTAGGTAAGGAGGTAGAGGAAATCAATCAACGAGACTGTGAAATTACATCGACTGAGATGGTTAGGACATGTGTTACGTATGCCTAGTCATCGCCTTCCTCGATGACAGTTAATGTTAGCTGATATAGGACGGATTAGCTTGGAAAAAAGAGAGGACTAGTGGTGGTCAAGAGAGAAAGTAGCTTCATCAGTCAATGAAGTAAATTCGCAACAGTTAGTTCAAGCCAGCCACGTAGGAAGGTGTAGACTTCCTGTTTGGGGTCCTCGGGACGGAAACAATTGGTGATATGACTCAAAATCGTTCTCAATGGGTGGCACAGATGCATCCACTTCTTGTGATTTATGATTTCCAATGAAACTGTTTTGTTCTTCGTTACTACTATTCCTTTGTCTCACACCTCTGTTTACTGTCTCTATTATGCATTTCTTCTACTTTCCTCTCTTGCTTTGTGTGCTACATGAAGGGAGTGTGGCGAATTGAACTGGCGCACATCGGTGCAAAGTTCTATGTCGAAACAGACAGACCGACAGACAATCTCTATAACATCTGATGATCATCTGTCTTATTTTCAGTGATATAGTTTGGATTGTTTCATTTTATACGATTAACTTTTTGGTGTAGTATTTCCTGATTTACTTACTATTTATTTTTTTGAGATGATGTGTGACTAGTGTAAAGTCATTACTTTTTTCATTTTCTACAATGTCTTCCAATTATCTGGAGTCGGCAGTATATGATCTTGACTGATAATCTTCATATAAAAAGAAGCTGTGTACACTTTCAGAATTGAAAATCACACACTTTTAGTGATGTGTGGTAAGTGCATCGGTGTATTAGCAGTAGAACGCTTGCCAACCACGCCACGCACGTGGCCCCAGGTTCGATTCCCTGCTGATGCACTCCCGAACCTTGCTAAGCTGGTAGTAAGTCCAGTAGAGGAGGGCAGGTTGGCTAGGTGTGACGTTGGCAACTCCAACCCGCAGAAATAAAATCCACTGTTCATGAAACTTCAAGACTGTAGCTTGAAGCCCGTATATCCCGCTAGGAACGTAAAGGAAATAAAAATTTTTTAAAATAGCAGTGTGGTACATGTCATTAATTCACCTTTCTGTATCTTAACTTGCTAGCCAACACATCACAAACGTGGTTAATATATTTAAGTGAACTCCTGATATTATACTCTAATTTCTATTCGTTTTACATTACTCTGCACTACTTCCTACTAAGCATGTGAGCATTATTGTTAGTTTTGTAAGTTCTAACACTTTTCTTGTGTATATACTCAATTTTAGACACTTGTATCAACGTGTTTTTGTTAATTGTCTTCTCACTTCCTCCCTCACATATTTCTACTTGCATAGGTCATGTATTGGTTATGGAAGTTTCAACAACTAAACAGCCACGTGTCAACGAGTTGATGACACTACGTCGAGTTGAAACACCAAGCGATGCTATTTGTCTACTTCTCCATGGAATTTCTTTAGGTAAGAAACCGTTTATTTCTAAACGACAATTGAGCTTTTTCACTGTTCCTGTGAGATTGTTGTGTTCAGTTTCTCATTCACTTGTCTTGTCCTGCCTTGCCTTGCTTTTGCTTAATCTTGTTTTCCCCCTTGTGTGTGTGTGTGTGTGTGTGTGTGTGTGTGAGATGTTGTAACTTTGACTGAGATATACAACTCTAAGTATTATAGGCTTGTATTATTTATTATCTAGTTGACCGTAAGTTTTCACTCAATTTATTTTTCTTCACCTCTACATTATCCTCTAACTGTGTCTCTGTAACCATGTAAGTAGTTATCCCACTGAGTCAACATTATAATATATGTATATATTCTTCGTTAAGAGGTCATTCAAATTAGGATAAGGTCACCACACACACACATACAGAGTTTGCTACTAATTTTTCGCTGAACTAAGCTCTGATAAATTGCGAATTATAGGAAAAACACTTCCCCTGTAATTTCAGGTTAGTTTTATTCTTCTATTTATTAAACTCTGTACTGCTGAGAAAGCAAGACTGAGAACTTCGTGATTGTTGTATATTGCTTTTTATTCTGTGAGGAACGTTTTAGGTAATTATCTCGTGTATAAACTAAAGTGTTTTAATGTTTTTAGTCTTTAAATTCTAAGGCAAAAAACATATAAACAAACAGATGGTGTGGGTGGGAGCGATGGGATAGATCATCAATATCCTCTATCGTAGCAGATATGTTTATGGACAGCTGGGATAATACTGCTCTTAATATATTTAATCCTACTGCAAAAATATGGGGGAGGGGATATGTGGATGACACTTCCACTCACAGTGTTAAAAACACAACATATCGCCCTCTAGCTTCTTGACACATATAAACTCACTAGTAGAGAGAATAAAATTCACATTTGAATCGGAAAATGAACAATGAGAATTAGTTACGTTGTTAGATTGTAAGATAAAACAAAGGGGAGAAGGTAAACTGCACAGTAGCGTTTATAAAAAGCCAATGCTTTCTGCTAATAGATATTTAGACTTTAATTCATCTCATCCGTCGTTATCTATCTGTGAAAGCAGGCTTAGTTAAGTGTCTAACAAACTCAGCAATAACACTAGTAGTACAAGAAAAGACCCTAAATGATGAAATAACGATCCTATAAAATTCATTAGAAAGATCAGTAAAGGCCAAAAGCAGAATAAAAATAATGGTGAAGCTAATAATGATAACATAAATAAGAAACAATATAAGGCATCTACAGTCATACCGTATAGGGAGGGGTCATCTGACACCCTATGCAGGATTCTTAATAAAGCAGGAATTAGAGTGGCATTCAAACCTACAAACTCACTCAGGTAGGAGAAGCTCTGTAGGCTAACGGACTCATTGGACCCAAATAAACAAAATAATATAATTTACAAAATACCTTGCAGTGTCTGTTAGTGAGGTCAACAACATAGGTCAGTCGAACTAGTAGATAGGGAGTAGTGAGATTGCCTGTCGAAACATAAGAATTTAGCTAGGGTAAGAATGAATGACTCCGCGAAGATAGGTAATTTAGAAGCAAGCTCACCAATTGCACTGTATACAATAACACACAACTACAAAATAAGATGGGAGACAGTTAAAATTCTAAAAAGTAGTATAGGTAGGTGGAGAGAGAGCGAGGGAGATTGATTACTGAATCCTGCCTGGTTCATCGTGTCTCCACCCAACACATGCAATAGAAGCGACTCAATGCAAATACCAGAGATATGCATGGAAGATATTATTACCATCAGTCAGTCAAATCAGAAAAGGATAATAAATAATCTTAAAATTCTATTTCAATTCAAACACATCACAACATTCTAGCAAGTTACTTATCATGACTATAAAAAGCACTCGTCTTATTTCCCATCTGATTGTATTTGATGAATAATACTCACATTATTATCTCTGAATGTACATTATCTTAAATTGATGTTTGTTCAAATGTCTTAACAATGAAGTAAAAATTTGTGTGAGTGACTTGATATAATTATGAGTGGCAATAGTTTGTGCTCGAAATTTGGTTATTAGTTAATATTACTGTATAACAACACTGTGTGATTTAATCAAAATAAAACCTTATCCATAATGGAGAATTCAGCCCAGTTTTCACACTTCCATGGGGACCTTGGGACTTTCTGGTCATCAATGGTGATAATCATATGCTTTCATGAATGCTAGGCATTGATCGGGTTCATTATTCTACGCTTATTGTGAAAAATATAGACTCAGAACTAATGTGGCTCTTTTCAGTTATATTACTACTCGACTAGTTTACACCAACTTTAATTACAGGGACATTAAGGGAATTAAACAAGTCTGTTAAAGGCTTCGCTTGCTGTAAATTGCCTGGTACAGAGGTCATATCATAGGAAAGTTTAAGTTACATCATCTATGCAGTCAGTTGGAATATTTGAGGTGAGTACATCGAGCACGGGCATGGTTTTGTGATATATTGCAAAATACATTATACTGTTTCTTCACTGCAACGTAGTGTAGGGTTTATGAACTCATCTTTTAAATAGTTGTAGGCAGTCTGTGGAAATTTCTCGTTTAACTAGTCTTTTCTTTCAGCCACATTTGTGTATTGTAGTTTCTTTATTTTAATTGTTGAATTCCTTTCTGTTTACTCATTCTCAATATGGCAACTTGTGGGTCCTGATGTTAAATACTCCAATATGCAGTTGGCGACATGACTTTAAGAGACTATCGGGGTTTTTTCTCCTAGCTCCTATCGTTATTTGAGGTCACAGGATGAAATGAAGTTAATTGACCAGCCAGCTTGTAGAATAAAAGTGATAGTGCTAGGGAAGCAAGATGATCAAGGTGACAGGGATTAACGAGAATGATGATCAGAGGGATTTGTGTGCTTTTGGAAGTGTATAGGCCTTAGTTACTTCCCAGCTGTTGTTCACACTGTGAAAGTTGATGTATTCTTGAGGTACCTGAAACAGAAACAGAATTAGTGTTGCATGACTGCAGACAGCCCAGGGGACAACTGCTTGAGGCCTGTTTGAACTGACTGTACTATACAGTTTACCTTCTTTCTTTCGTTTTATCTTACAATCTAACATAGCTAATTCTCCTTGTTTATTTTCTGATTCAAATGTGAATTTTATTCCCCACTACAACTGAGTTTATATGTGTAGAGAAACTAGAGATGTGTTCTGTTCTTAACACTTCGAAAGTGTCATCCATACATTACCACTATATCTTTGAGGTATGATTAAATGTATTAAGAGCCATAATTTCCCAGCTGTCCATAAAGATATCTGCTACGATAGGGGATATTGGTGATGCATCCCATTGCTACACCATCTGTTTGTCTATATATTTTGCTCAGGAGTTTAAACATATTAGATGTGAGGTGTAACTGAATTCCTAAAATAGTTTTCTCAATCGGTAGCTTTGTCCAATGAGTAAGTTCAGGATCAGCAGGTAGTTCCCTCTCAACTGCTTCTAAGGCCATACTGATTACTATATCATTTGGTGTAAAGACTAGTTAAGTTAAAACTAACCATCTCTTCATTCCTCTCTGACTTAATGTCATTTAGTTCCCTTTTCATTTCATATGAATTAGTTAGCCTAGAGTTCGTACGATTTCTAATGGGACATAATATCACAGCTAAGTGATTTGACAATTCATAAGTAGGCGCATTTGTGAAATCTACAATTGGACGAATGTAGTAACCCGGCTTATGTATTTTTGTACAGAACCATCCATATATTCTATTAACAATATTAGTTTTAGGCATTAAATTAAACCATTTAAAAACTTCATGGAATTTTTGCCCATTAATAAACTTGAACAAAGCAAGAACAACAATTGTACCAGGATAATATGAGCTCATCTTTTATTATTATTTCGAGAATTCTTCTCAACTGGTTACAACCTGAACGATAAAAAAACAATATGAATTACATTAAAGATTTGAACATACTTTTCCACGATCACAAGGAGTAATTGGTAGGAAGTAAAAGTAACATTAGTCCGGAATGATTTAACAAATTAATTGAGTTACAAACACTAACTATTTATAGAATAATTATACAATTAGGCATGGAAACAAAAAGAGTTGCATATATATATATATATATGAGTATAGAAACAAGGTTTAGCTTAAAAGAGCATAACAAAAAAGGTCGATTACGTAACTAAAGAAAATGTTTTATCTAATAGCCAATAGAATAAAAAAGAAAAGAACAAGGTAGGGTGAGTCATAATTAGATGAGAGAGTAGAGTTTTCTAAACAAGAAAAAGGGTGACTCATAAAAGTTGTACATTTTGTTATCACGAGGGCAGTGTGTACACAGAAAGAGACAGTGGTGAATCTTGCACTCTACTTTCTCATCTAGACATGACTCACCCACAACAGAAATGACTACTTTTATGTCGTTGCCTTCTCGTCAGCTCTGCTTACAGGCCAGAGACATTATGTAATATATTTGCAAAAACAATTGTAACATACTTGCACTGAGAGTTCAATTTAAACAAAAATCAATCGATCAATATATGCATACAGTGATAATATATACATTTATATATATGTAATATTAAACACTATTCCGAACAACAATAATAATCATACACAATGAAAACTCTTCAGCATCACGCATTCAGATGAAAGAGAGGTGAAAATATCCAGTTACCAGAGCAAAGAAAGACTGATAACCGCTTCTTTCTGGACGCATAAATCAGGTTTCAGGCGCATGATGGAAATGGCTTCAGCAAACTTGAGGAGAATTAGGCTCTTTTGCCTATTCATAATTTTGAACGACTTTTCGACGTCCACCTCATTACACGTGTCAAGAAGATGCCTGGCGATGGTACTATTTAAAGCAGGATAGACTCTGGCTAGTGATGTACTCAGCCTTCTGTTGATCATTGCTACAATGTTTTCAGCTTTATAATCAGGCTGAATGTAGATTGGCTTTTTATGCACTGTGATTTGTTTTACATTTGTGACTTCAGATCCTCCATATTTGTTGATGAACCTTTGAGTGTTCCCATTGCTCTTCAATATCTTTTCAAGAAACTCAAATTCTTCCTCTAATTTCTCTATAGAGCGTATTCTCCTCGCTCTATAGTTCAGAGTCGTGACTAGTCCGCGTTTAAAACTATTTGGACAAAAGCTATTAAAATATGAGTATTGTCCGTTCCATGTAGGCTTTCGATAAATTGACTTCTGAAGACTTCTAGGCGTTCCATTGCGATGTCGAGGAAGTGAAGCTTTCTGTCACTTTCATGTTTTATAGTAAACTCAGTATTGGTGTGTGTGTGTGTGTGTACATCATTGAATAATCTGAGTAAGTGTGAAGCATCACTTTCATTGTTGCACCGTATAAATGTGTCATCAACATATCGACAGTAGGAAGTTGTTTCATCGATTGCATACTTCAACTTTGTTCTTTCAAGGTTGGACATGAATATATCTACTGTATTAATTTGATGATGATATACTGTGCAATAAAGCACTTGTAATTCTCTTGTATACCTATTTTTTTTGTATTCAGCTAAAGGACAAGGCACTCCACTTCTACGCTCTGGTATTCATCGTATCCATGAAAATCAAGAATACATTGATTCAGATGAATATACTGAATGGCCAGGTTTTGTGAATATTGACGATGAAGATGATGAGGCGGCTCCTCCATTGTCAACAGATAATACTTATGCTGCTAATCAAGGGGATAATGAATGTTCATCATAGTAAAATATCAAAAAAAAAATTTTTTTTTCTCTGTTTTTTCTGTTTTATATATGTGTTTATAATAGTATTTACTAATAAATAAACTAATTGATAAATACCTTCTAATCTCTTATTGATTTTACACTCCTTTCACATTTACTGCATATCCTTCCAATTTAATTTGGTTCTCTCTCTAAATGTATCTCTATATTATTAAGTTTTCACTATTTTATAGTGATTATGATCATAATAATAATAATAATACTAACCTTCTCCTTGTACATCTCAAAGTCTGTTATGATGATGTTTAGGGAGTTCATCATTTGTAAACTATCTCTTAAATTCACATATATCTTCTTCCAACCAATACCCACGTCCCCCAGACCCCCTTATCTCACTCATTTCGTTATGAGCAGATATTATACAAATCCATGCAAACATACACACTCACCTGCTGTCAGATACTGAAACATTGTGTCAGACAGAAGAAATAACACTGACAGAACCTAATTAAATTATATCTTTTGTCATCCTAATAATTATTGATCTACTCAATGTTTAACTCTGTTGTGAATGATATTCAATAATTAGATAACAACACGTTTAACATTTTTACAACCTTTTCGTTGGTTTATTCTCCTGTATTTTTTATTCGTTACTTTCAGCACCTGATTGATTGTAAAACAGCTGTCTTTTGATAACTCTCTCTCTCAGTGTCTCTCTCTCCAAAGACTCATGTCTTTTGAGAAAGGTCATATGGGTAGGTGGTGAGGCTTGGTGAAGGCAATATTGATTTTTAATATAGTTCTCAGTACACCTTACTTTGCCAACTATCTTTTTCCTTTGTGTGTGTGTGTGTGTGTGTGTCAATTAATTAATGAATGATCTGTTCTTTTTAACTGATATTACTAACAGTTGGATATCAGTAGTATATTTATGCTGATACACTTAGGCTTCATTATGGATGTGTGGTTTTCTTCAACACTAGTGTTAGTCTTCTGTGGCTGTTTCTTTTTTCAATGTTATCCTTATTTCTTGCCTACATCGTTGTTAATGTGAATATATTTATTTACATACATGCATACATATACTTCACTCACTTATTTCTGCTACCTACTTCTTTTATTGTTATTATTAGTATTATTATCATTACTATGATTGTTACTTTTAATGTTATCATTTTATGAAGGTTTTATCACTGCCTCACTTTGTTTTGTTTATTTTGTAATGTGCATATATATATATATACATATATATAGTGAAGCGTTACGTTGTAACCCAGTTCCTTGTTGTACATCATCATCCTTACTGTTGTGAGCAAAAAAAAAAATAAAGGGTTGCGCATAAAAAAACGTGGACGACTAATAGTAACAATAATGATGACGCGATGCTGATGAGAACGATAAAAGTACGAAATACAGAATCTCCTATCTCTCCATCTTTCTCTCTCTTTTGTTTCTTTTTTCTTCCCTTTTCTTTTCTAATAGTATTAATATGAATACGATGCGTTTTTAATAATAATCTAAGTGTCAGTTATGTCATGTACAAACACAAGAATATTATTAAGAAATAAATATATATATAAAACATCTGAGTTAAAAATTATTTTATAAATCATTATTGTTTTTTTTAAATTTTTAACGGCTTTTCACAAAAGTAGGTGGTGGGGGGCTAGGGGTACTGCATAAGAGCTGTTTGAGTTTTGTAGTTCTACATCGAGATCTTGATTGTACAATTGAAATGCACGTCTTAAAAAGTGTTTTTACTCAGATAGATTGAGCTAAAAGGAAGTAGAAATACACAACTATATCTTGTGATATGCTTTGTACTCTTGGATATGTTTAGAAATTCTTTTAATAAACCTAAGGTTGTTCTGGTATCATGGAGTTTCACATGTGTTTAGATTGTTTTTAGTATTCATACTCTCTGTGGATGTGATGGTATTTAAAGTAACAGGGTGGCAGTCGAATATCTAGACTACTGATTCAATTGTATCCTGTTGTGAGAGAAGTGAATGAGTGGTGTACACAAGAAATTATTGACATATGTACGGTTGTCTCATGAAGATGTATTCAACAGTTTGAATGTTAGTTATTTCCTGGGTAGTAGTGTTTATTCGTCAAACAGGTAAATGTTACTTCGTCGCCAGTGACTTTGAAGAGGTTGTGTATGTGTTTCTGGAGACAATTCTTTCGAATTATTTTATTATTTTACGTTCCGAGTGGTACTAAAGGCTTCAAGAGCTAGCCGGGACTTTGGGTAGCAGGCCCTTACTAGCCTGTGTCACACCCAATATTCCCTCTTTATTTGACTTAGTGCACACGTAGCGAGGTTTAGGAATTCTTCGGCCGAGGGTCGAACTCCGGACCAGGTATGGCGTGCTTTGGGGACATTCCTCCACTGAACCACCTACGAGACAAGAAAATTGTTAATTCCTTTCATCATTAGCTGACAATCATTGGAAAACCAGCTGGGAGTATTGGACAGCTGTGGGAAGCTGTGACTGGTAGGGTACAGCAGGTCGAAGGTGAGGACAGTTACTCATCGAAGAAGACATTGCGAAGTGGTCGTGCTATGCCGTGAATTGGCAGAAGCTGGAATTCATGGACTGGCCGTTGGATCGGGTCCCAATGGCCTAATGGTCTACAAGCTCGCTAGCTTTGTAACCAGAAGGTCGTGGGTTCGAACCCCCTGTGGTGGATGGACACTTCTGAAGATTACCAAACTAGGACACGACAATTGTCCAGTACTCCCAGCTGGTTTTCCAAAGATTCTCTAACTGATGTCAACTGGTGATGAAATACTCCAACCAATCAAGCGAAATCCCTACAAAAACCAATACTTGAAAATTCATTTCATGTTAGTACTGTTATTTGGCTTGTCACTGATGTACTTCCTTTACAGCTGAATACTAATATTGGTTAATTCATCAGTCAAATAATGTTGTTCGTGTGAAAGTGGTTAACCGTTCAATGACTGTCGAATATTGACTTCATTCAGTAAATCTCAGTATTATCTTAAGTATGCCTAGAATCATCATGTAGAAAAGAGTGTCATATGTTTGCATGCAGATGTGTCATGATCATAGTAAAAAAGAAAAAAAAACATGGTTGTTAATAAAGACAAGGTGATTATGATTTTTACCAATTTTTAGATTATCTGTCACGTTGTCAAATCGTTTGACCCCGAGAAGATAAGTAATTTAGAAAAAAGCTCAGCAATTGCAATGCATGCGCTAACACACAATAGGGTGGGAGAGGGTTAAAATTCTAAAATGTAATCTAGGTAGGTGAAGAGAGAGGTTGATTACTGAATCCTTGTTCATCGAGTCTACACCAAACACATGCAATAGGAATGACACATCACTCATACCTGAAATATGGAAAATACTATTACCAATCAAATCAAGAGAAAAACAATGGGACTATATAAATGAATTCAGGAAGTCGTGTGATTACCTTGATATGATTATGAGTGGCAATAAATTATGCTCGAAACGTCATCAGTAAACATTACTGTATAACACTGTGAGACTTTATCAAAACAAAATTTACCCATAATGGAATTACACTCTACCACAGTGCACAAGTTTTATTCTTATATTTATGTCAAATCGTTTGGTTTATTGCAAAACCTTTGTGTAATAAAGCCTAATATTTGTGGCCCAGTTTAAAAAAACACTAGTGTTTTTACTTTTATAATATATATAGATCTGCATTACGATACTTTCTTTTGTCTTAGATATCACTGTATGTAGTTCCAGCTTCGTTAGAACTCTCTCTATATATGTCTGAATTCGCCACTGACCCACGAAATTGATACTGCACAAACCTGACCGTGTGAATATTTGTCGTCAGATGGTTATTCTTGTTGTCTTCAAAACTTTCAGTGGTGAACTGTAGATTGCCTAGATTATAATTGTGCTTGTAAACGATTTCCCTAAAGTAAGTAGCTGATCAGAAGTCAGCCCTATGCGAAGCTGGTCGCTTCATTGCACCCACAAAAAGTTGTATGATTACAAACTAATCAGTTCGGTGAGCAGAATTCTTTTCTTATGTAGACTGTAGATAAAATAGATTCTTTATTCAAGTATTGGTTTGTAGGGATTTGGTTGATCGGTTACAGGATTTCATAATCAGCTGACATCAGTTAGAGAATCACTGGGAAACCAGCTGGGTGTACTGGACGGCTGTTTTGGTCCTTATTCGGGACTCTTTGGCAGTACGCATCCACCGGGGTTCGGACCCAGGACTTTCGGATTACAAGGCGAGCTCGTATACCATTAGGCCACTGGGACACGATCCAATGGCCTATGAATTCTCAACTTCTGCCAATTCACGGCATAGCGCTACCGCTAGCTAATGTCTTCGGCGAGTATTTGTCCTCACACCCGACCTGCTGCCCCCTGCTGTTCACGACTTCCCACTAGAATCCCAGATAACTACCTACCTGAATAGGGCCAGTCGTCAGTGACCATCTCATTGATATTCTTTAGTCTATGGTAGGTGAGATAACTTTCGTATGTCTTAAACGAAACTCAGTGTTATGATGGATAAGGGCAACTTTACACTAAAAGTTAGCCGTAAATATGTTGTTCAGAAAGATAGACGAAATCTTCAGTATTCTAGACCATCAAGCTCGGAGAACAGCATCCATTTGAGCCAGAAATCTTCGCTGTTTTAGAGGGAATAATTTCTATCATACGTAGTTCAAACTGATATGTTTTTCAAGTATTGATATTCTGTAGGGATTTTTTTTTATTGGTTAAAGGATTTCATCATGAGCTGATATCAGTTAGAGAACCATTGTAAACTAAATCTATATATGAGGGATACACTTTTCTACTTGTGATTGGGCACTAATGAGTAACTTGTGGTATGAGTCTTGTCCTTTGTTTGGTGTACATTGAATTCCATCAGTCATGTTGGCAATTTGG